TTATTGTGGTGAGCTGGAGCAATTAGTTTAACATCTCCAAGTTTGTTTTCTCTTCTGGAGAATAATTCCTCCTCCTCCTCATAGAGCCATACTCCAAAGCATACATGATACCATACAGTCCTAAGGATCTCACTAGCCTCCATCCTGACAAGGTCTGGAGAGGGACAGACAGCCCTTCTCCAATCCCACCCAGCAGCTCTCCCCTTTGCCACCTCCCTAGTGAGCCTTTCCAGCCCCACCCTAGGAACCGTCTATCTTACCTGCAGTTTTTCAGAATGACCACTAGAGGGAGCATCTACCGGCTCTGGTGCTGGAGCGCTCTTCTGCTCTTTCCTCCTCTTCCTCCCATTTCCACATTCCCCTCTACTCACTTTCTGCCTTTTCTGGATCTTTCATCAAAGCTCTCTGCACTAGATTCTCTCATTTTGAGCCACCATGTTCCTGAGCTTAAGGGTTTCACTGAATATTCTAAAAAGCAAACCAGTTGTAATCATGGAATGGAGAGTGTGACCATGGGGAAAGAAAGCTCTGGAGTAAGAAGGATGCAGACGGAACCTTAATTCTGTACTCAAAAATCAATCTGCCACATTGAAAGGCTAATGAAGACAAAAAATCATATCAACTGCTGCTGAAAAGCATTAGACCAAGTCCAATACCCACACATGATCAAAACTCTCAAACAACTAGGAACATAAGGGAACTTCCTCAGTGTGGTACATAACATCCACAAGTAACCTGTAGTTAGCAGCATACTCAATGGTGAGACACTGGATACTTTCCCTTAAAATTGGGAGCCTGGCAAGGATGTCCTCTCTTATCAGCTAATGTGATAAAACAAGAAAAATAAATAAGAGGCATACAGACTGGGAAGGCAGAAATAAAATTTTCTTTGCTCACAGGTGACTTGGCTATCTATTTAGAAAACTCCAAAGAGGCCACAAAGTCTTCTGAAACTAATACATTTCAAAAAGCAAGCTTCCAAATACAAGGTCAACACACAAAAGTTAATTCCTCCTTATTTAATTTATACATTTAGTACATTCTCATTTTTTTCATATGTTTCCTCAAATGAGCTACGGGTTCAATCAAAGTCCAACATTCCAAGAGAGATTCTCTTGAAATTTGTTAAGATGATTCTAAAATATGTATAGAGAGTAAAGGATCAATGTTAGCCTGGACACGTCCAAGATAGAAAGCAAGGAAAGTGGCCCCACCCCCAGATATTAGAATTAAATAATTAAGACAGTAAGACACCAACAGACAAACTGACTAATGGGAGAGAATAAAAGCCCAGGCACAGGCCAGGCCTGTGTGGCACTCTGTTCCATGACAGAGGTGGCATACAGTATCATGGGGGAAAGAGGACACGTTCAGCAAGTGGAAATTGAAAAAATGGTTATCCTTAGGTTAAAAGATAAAATTGGTACCTAACTCATACTATGTAAAAATCCAGAGGAATTAAAACTTATATCAAAGCAAAACTTGAAAATTCTTAATGGTATGTAAGAAAAAGTTTCCTGAATCAGACCAAACAATGTCTGTCTAATAAAAGACTAATTATGTTCATCAAATAACACCTTAAAAGAGAAGTTAAATCTGAGATATGGTGCCATAACTGCATAAAAATTTCTTCAAGTTTGTACAAAAAGCACACACACACACACACACACACACACACAAAACACTGAAAAGAAATAGGCAAAAGTTAGGACCAAACTTTTCACAAAAAAATAAAATACCTATAAAGGAAGAGATGTTCAACATGAGTGATCAGGAAATGCAAAGCAAGATACCATTTCATGCCACATGCGGTGGCACAAACCTATAATCCCAGTGGCTTGGGAGGCTGAGGCAGGAGGATCATGAGTTCAAAGCCAGCCTCAGCAATTTAGCAAGTCTCTAAGCAACTTAGCAAAAGCCTGTCTCTAAATAAAATATAAAATGGGGTGGGATATGGCTCAGTGGTTAATCACCCTGGGTTCAATCCCTAGTACAAAAACAACAACAACAACAAAACCAGTTTATATCCAGCTAAAAACAAGAAACCTGGGCTGGAGATGTGGCTCAAGCGGTAACTCACTTGCCTGGCATGCGCAGGGCGCTGGGTTTGATCCTCAGAACCACATAAAAATAAAATAAAGATGTTGTATCCACCGAAAACTAAAAAAAATAAAATAAATATTAAAAAATTCTCTCTCTGCCTCTTAAAAACAAACAAACAAGAAGCCTGACTACACCAAGTGTCAGGATAGGGACACAAGGGGTTCTCTCATACATGTAAATTGAAGAATGTACATTGGTGTTGGGGCATTTTGGAAAGCAGTTTGGTACTACTCCCCAACCTGAATGTATGTGTACATACCCTTAAACCTAGCAGTCCCTGTGTCTGTGCTGAGATTGATGATGGAAAGATGGGACGACAGAGACTCCGTAAAGAAGCTGGAATCACAGTGTATGAGAGGCTGGCCATGGAGGTGGAAAGGATATGTAAATCAACAAAAGACTAGAAGAAGAACTTTCAGAAGACGATACCCAAATGGCCAAAAAAATCATATTAAAATGTGCTCAAACTTATGAGTTGTTAGGAAAATACTATAAGCACAAGGAAGTACCATTGCACACCCACAAAAATGGAGGGGGATGTACAATAACCAGGATTCTCAGATAAGGCATGTGGAAGCATAAATTTGTGTCCCCACTTCAGAAAAGTATCTAGCTTTATGCCACGAGACTCCGCAACTCTATTTCCAAGCATGTGCCAACAGAAAAGTGTAAGAATGTGCATCAGCAGATACGTGTGAGAAAGTGTATAGCAGCACAATTCTTAGGAGCCAGAAACAATGACATCCCAAATACCTATCAGCAGTAAAATGGATAAACTTTGGCGTACTCACACAACCAAATACTGTACAATGAGAAAAAGTTTACAACACTTACTCGAGACACTGAAAATCATAATCATGAGTCAAATAAGCCAGTCTCAAAAACTTATATAGTACATGAGGGAGGTGAGGTGGTGCACGCCTGTAATCCCAGAGGCTCAGGAGGCAGAGGCAGGAGGATCCCAAGTTCAAAGTCAGCCTCAGCAATGGCAAGGTGCTGAGCAACTCAGTGAGATCCTGTCTCTAAATAAAATACAAAATAAGTGAGGATGTGGATGAGTGCCCCTGAATTCAATACCTGGTACTCCCCCAAAATAAAATAAAATTATGTAGTACATGATTTACTCTTTATAAATTTCAAAATCATAGACAGGATGGTGAGCCTACAGGAGGAGCAGTGACTGTCAGGAACATGAGGTGCTGGTGATGGTCTATCTGTGATCTCAGTAGTGGCAACATGAGGGTGTTTAGTTTATGAAAACACACCATTCTGTATATACTTGTGATCTTTCTGTGTGTCTGATGCTCTCATTTGGATAAGTGTCCTGCAAAGATCCACATGTTGAAGGCTTAGTCCCCAGATGCCATGTTGGAAACTTTAAGAGGTGGGGCCTGGTAGAAGGTCTTTAGACTATTGGGGGCAAACTCTTGAAAGGGATTGTGGGACTCTACTCACTTTCTCTTCTTCTGTTTTGCTTCCAGGTCGTGAGGTACATGGTTTTGCTCTGCTCTATGCCTCCTGCCATGATGTACTACTGACTTACCACATGCCAAAAAGAAAAGGAGCCAATTAATAATGAACTTGAACCTCCCACACTGTAAACCAAAATAAACCTTTTATCTTTATAAGTTTATTAATTTCAGATATTTTGTTACAATTACAGAAAGCTGACAAACACTGTTTCTATGTACAAGGAGAGATTTAGAGAAACCAACAGGACATGGTGAGTGATAGACATGGATGGAGAGGAACAGAAACAATCTAATGTGATTCTGATTTTGGCAACTGGGTAAATGGAGTTACCCCGCCACCTCCTTTTTTTTATACCAAGGATTGAACCCAGGGGCACTTACCCACATCCCCCACATCCCCAGCCCTTTTTATATTTTATTTAGAGAGAGGGTCTTGCTGAGTTGCTTAGGGCCTCACTAAGTTGCTGAGGCTGGCTTTGAACTTGCAATCCTCCTGCCTTCGGATTCTCGAGCCACTGGGAAACCGGGCATATGCCATGACACCAGGCTACTGAAGTTACCCTTTACTGGAAATGAGAAGGAGAAGAGGAAGAGCTGGTATGGGCAAAGGTGGGAATTGAGTTCAGCTTTAGACATGTGATGATAGAGGTAACTAGGCATTCAAGCAAAGATGTCAAATAGCCACTTAGATTTTCAAGTTTAGAAGCTCAGGGAGAAGTCAGAGCTAGAGATGCAAGTTCGGAAGTTCCCCCTGTGTAAACTACACAGTGAGAACCTGGATGCAATCTCCAAGAGAGTGAATGTGGAAAGCAGGGAGAAGGCCCAAGGGCGGAGGATATGGGGAAGCTCAAACATTTAGTCTGATAAAGGATGACAGCCACAAGGACACCAGAAGATAGCAGACAGCGAGCTACGAAGAAAACCAGGAGAGCGTGGTGTCCCTAGGCCAAGTGGTGTGCAGGAAGAAGGAACATCAGCCATGTCCAAGGCTGTTCCTAGGCCAGGATGAGGTCTGGGCAACGTGGAGGTCAAGGGCAGTTTTGTGGAATGTTGGTCTCTAAAATGTGGAGTAGGAGGAGACAGATGGGAGGTGAAGGTGGCAAGCAGGGAGCACAGCCATTCTAAGAGTTTTGCTTTCTGGGTGAGCAGAGAAGTGGCGCAGGAGGTGGTGGGGTCGGGGCCTTCCGATGAGAACTATTGCAGAAGTTCTTGGAGGGGGAGCGATGGACACGGCAAGAAAGGGGAGATGGAGAGATGGAACTAAGCACTGACCAGGAGGAAGGGGAGGGGATGACATGACACTTGGGACTTCACGGGCCAAGTGGCAGGAAGAGCAAGATTCAACCAGTCACAGAGGTGGCCTGTCAGATAAGGCCTTGCCTAAGGCGGTGATAAGAGTTGTACAACTTCCTTCAGCCAGGCCCCAGCAGATGAATTCAAAGGTTCCTTCTAGGAAACTGTCCCTGCCTGGGCGGGACAGAGGCCTTGGCGCTGGGCTGGGCTGGGCTGAGCACGGCACCCTGTCCACAGGTTTGTACACACCTCGCCACAGCAGTGTGGAGAGGCCTTGGGAGCCAGGCCAGCATGGTGGAGTTTGCTCCCTTGTCCGTGCCTTGGGAGCGCAGGCTGCAGACTCTGGCGGTCCTACAGTGGGTCTTCTCCTTCTTGGCCCTGGGTAAGTGGGGCTGGGTGAGATGGGAGACCAGGAGCAGCCACCCAGCTGCACCTAGAATGTTGGTCCTGGGAGGTTCTTGGAGGCCTCGGAGCCCTGCCCAGAGAGACTGGGCCGTGGAGTGGGGTTGCCTGTGGCTTTGAGCAGTTTTTTGGCCAAGTGTTCCCCCTTGACACAAGGAGATCCTGCTGCAGGCTGCTGAGGGTGTGGGAAGCATCGAGTTGATGCTAGGAAAGTTCCAGACTGCTCTTTCCTTTCTGAAGGGGTGAGTGGGAACTGGGGTAAGGAAGGAGAGGGGAACCAGGAACTAGGTTCTCCGGGACTCGATTTTGTCATCTGCAGCAACGTGTGGCCCAGACTCCAGCTCTGCTGAAGGGAATGTTTTCAAGGAGGGTTTGGGCCATATGCCACGGCACACACCTGTAATCTCAGCTCGGGAGGCTGAGGCAGGAGGATCATGAGTTCAAAGCCAGCCTTGGCAGTTTAGTGAGGCCCTAAGCAACTCGGGGAAACCCTGTCTCTAAATAAAATATAAAAGGGTTGGGGATGTGGCTCAGTGATTAAGCACCTCTGGGTTCAATCCCCAGTACAAAAAAAAAAAAAAAAGGAGGGTTTGGGGCAGTGTTGGGAGGTGGAAGTGAATGAATGGGTTTCTTCATTTCATCTGCTGGCACCGGACTAGGGAAGAACTGTTCCCCCTGGGTCTAGGGTTCAGCCTGTGCTCTCTCGTGGTTGCTAAAATGTCGACACATTGTGGTCAGTGGCCTTTTAACACACAATATATGTGCCCACCCCACACTTCCTCAGAATTTCTTTATGGTTTCACAGCCAAAGAACTTATTCCTAGCACGGCAGGCTCTCCTGGACCCTACGTTAGCATCCTTTCTAATTGACATGGGTTTCTGCCCTAAGGGTTGATAAACATGTTACACAGACTTGGTTATTTCCACTGCGTAGATGAGCAGAGAAAGTGCCTTACAGGCCCAGGCTGCAGAGCCAGAGTCCTGGGCTCCTCCTGCCAGAGAAAGGGCTAAGGAGGTAGAAGAGGGGAGAGGGGCTGGGGTGGGAGGAGGTGGGAGCCACAGTCAGTAAGAGAGCAGAAGGAGGGAGGCCTAAGCTGTCAAGTCCAAGGGCTCTGGGGACCCAGTGCCAGGTGACTGTAGCCAACAGATCACAGAAGACGAGGGTCACCATGCCCAGCCTGCCTCCTGTTATCTTTTAGGGCAAGAGTGTTTCCAGCTGGCCATGCCCACCCCACCCTGCAGCCCTGTGGCCCTGCCTGGCTCCTTCACTATCACAGGAACCTGGAAGGTCAGGAGCAGCGTAGGGGTCAAAGCAGCCCTGGGCCTGGAGGGCCAGAGGGAGGACAGCTGAAAAAAAAGGATCTGGGCTCATTTGTGCCAAGAGCAGGAGGTTTTGTCTTATCCCTTAACCTGAGGGCAAAGGAGAGCTGAGGAAGTTTCAGGTAGTGGAGTGACAAGGTCCAGCCTGGGTGTTAAAGGTCCCTGTGCCTGCCGTCGATGTGTCTGCTGTGCTGAGGGTGTGGGGAAGGGACCAAAAGCAGGAGCATTCTGTCTAGATCAGAAGTCACCAAATTAGGGCCCATGGGCCACATCCAGCGCCCTGGTTTTGTTCAGTCCAAGGGTTCAGAATGGTTTTTATATTTTTTAAAGGCTACATTTAAAAATAGCTGCTTAAGTACATGCATAATATCCTCCAATTTGCCCCTTAAACTGCAAAGTCTGAAATATTTGCCATCTGAACCCTTAAGAAAAAGTCTGAAAAGGGTGGCAGTGGGTGGAGAGAAGGTTTGGGGTCAGGAGATTTTCAGGAGATGGGCTCCTGGGCAGGAGCAGAAGGAATGGATGGGTGGAGGGAGAAGGCCAAGTTGATGCCCAGTCTCACCCACATTTGGCTGGCTGTCGTCACTGAACTTGGGCACTCAGGAGCAGGCTTGAGAGATTAGGAGTTCAGTCCTGAATGTCACTGTCCTTGAGGGGCTGTGGAACCTGGAGCCAAGAAGTCACCTGTGAGCAGGGGGATGAGAGAGTAAGGTCAGGCAGCAGCGACCAACAGGAGGCAGATTTTAAAAGGCTCTGAATGAGGCTTTATTGAGATTTTGCTCCCTGGCGGGACCCTCAGACCAGCAGAGTAGGGCCAAGGAGAAGTGTATGGGGTTGGAATTTTTATTGAGCTTAGGGCAGGAAGGGAGGGCTTGGGACAGGAAAAGGGGTTTTTAGAGTCCTTTGTCCTACTGGGGTTGGTTGCGGGTAGCTGGCTAAGATCCAGAATTGGCCAGGAGACCCTGCTGATTGACAGGCAGTTCTGTGGGCGCCTGATTGGTGGTTCTTTGGCGCGCATGGGTGGGTGGCTTAATCACCTCAAACAGATCTAACAGAGGGAACAGAGTGGCAGGGGTGGTGACAAGCAGAGGTAGCACTTCAGGCAGCCACTATTTTTTGTTTGTTTGGTACCAGGACTTGAATCCAGGGGTGCTTAACCACCGAGCCATGCCCCCAGCCCTTTTTATTTATTTATTTATTTTTAACTTAGAGTCAGGGTCTTGCTAAGTTGCTGAGGCTGCCTTTGAATTTACAATCCTCCTGCCTCACTCTCCCAAGCTGAGGTTTTAAAGAACACTAAGGTTTCAAAGACTGGTAGGAAAATCAAGCCCCCCAGGCAGGGAGCCCCCTGTGCAGAGCGGAGGAGGAATAAGGGACCTTGCACACAGTTCATGCTGGAGGTCACGGACACATTTTGCAAAATGGCACAGAAGTGGCTGGAAAAGTCAACTAGGACCACTCACCAAAGGCTCAGAGCCCCAAGTCAAATGCGTTCTTGGGTGACTTGTTTGCTGGCTGTGTCCTTTCCTCTCCTCCACAACTCCCACCTCTTACATGGGAAAGGAAGGTGTTTCTTCACAGCCTGTGCTGTTCTTGGCTATGGCTACAGCTCCTTGAAGAGTCCAAGTCCAGAACATCTGTTGAGTGAATGAGGAATGCTGGGAGCATGATCTGGTCCAAGCAGCAGGACTGAATCCCAGGTCCCCCCCTTATTAGTATGCTGTGTGACCTTAGCCAATTTATAGATCCTCTCTGTGGTACTGAAAGCTCTGTTCTTGTCCCCGATGCCAATCCAATAACAAGGACATAGTTTTGAGAAAAAAAAGAAGTTTTATTATTGCATTGCTAGCAAAGGAGAAGCACAGGAGACTCCTGTCCCAGAGGCTGTGATTCTGCCCATCAGAGGAACAGGGGGCTCTTAAAGAGGTGTATCAAAGGTCACATTCCACATTTCTTTTTGGAGTTGTCATTCACTTGTTCGTTTGGGAGATAGTCATTTCTGGTGTCACCCCCAACTCTGAGTTACTTGTTTCAGTGGTATGTGCTCAAGGACAGATAACTCTGCCTAGGATGGGGAAGAAAGGTAATCCTGTTTCCCTGAGATTAGGGAGGGGGAGCAGTTAGGGAAGAGCAGGCAGAAAGGGAGAGGAAGAAACAGGTCATTTTCAAAATAAATCCATCGGGCCAGGCGCAGTTGTGCACGCCTGTAATCCCAGTGGCTCGGAGGCTGAGACAAGAGGATCATGAGTTCAAAACCAACCTCAGCAATGGCAAGACGCTAAGCAACTCAGGGAGACCCTGTCTCTAAATAAAATACAAAATAGGGCTGGGGATGTGGCTCAGTGGTCAAGTGCCCCTGAGTTCAATCCCTGGTACCCACTCCCCCGCCAAAAAAAAAGTCACATGGCAGAGCAGCAAGGGCTATACTCAAAACATAAAGTGGACCACTGTCCATCCAGGCCTTAAAGTGGGCATTTTAAGTGTTTCCCCCTCAGGTCATGAGGATTATGTAAAAGAAGGTGGTGTCTTCCTTCCTAAATTACTGAAAAGACCCACAGACTGGGTTTGCTTCCTAACAGGGGTTAAAGGGTGAGCCCATGGTCGAGGCATAATGCAGTGGTGGGAGTCATTCTGTTTTCTTCTAACTTTTCCTTTTTTCCTCCTGACTTCAAAAATAATACATATTACTGTAACACATTCAAACAAAGCATGGGCCCTTAAAGTAAAAGACTTCCAGCCAGTCATGGAGGCGCACGTCTGTAATCCCAGCGACTCGGAGGCTAGGAGGATCTAAGTAGAGGGCCCTTGAGTTCAGTCCCCAGCACCCCACCCACACCCTGCCCAAAGACTTCCCATACTCTTGCCTCCAGGTAGACACTATTAACAATTCACCTTTATTTTCCAGAGCTCCTTTTCTTAAAAGAAGCTCATGAACAGACTTTTGGTTTTGCCCAAGGGAAGAATCCTAGCTGGGAGTTTAAAATTATTTTTACTTTTATAGTAAATATTTTTTAATGTAAAAATTAAAAACAATTTAAGTCAATCTCCTTTCTTTTTTGAATTCAGGGGCACTCTACCATTGAGCCACATCCCCAGCCCTATTTTGTATTTTATTCAGAGATTGGATCTCACCGAGTCACTTAAGGCCTCTCTAAATTGCTGAGGCTGACCTTGAACTCAAGGTCCTCCTGGGATTACAGACATGTGCCACCACTCCGGTAGCGAATTATTCAACAGTGTTTGAAAACAAAGAGCAAATGTGGAAGCAACCCTATGTCCATGAACAGATAAATGAATAAACAAAATAGAATATTATTCAGCCTTAAAAAGAAAGGAGATTCAGACACATCCACAACTTGAATGAACTGCAAACATTACGCCCAATAAAATAAGCCAGTCACAAAAGCCAAACGCTGTAGGATCTTACTTATGTGAAGTACCCAGCGTAGTCAACATTTCAGAGAATAGAAGGCTGGTTGCTTGGGTCTGGAGGGAGGGGCAGTGGGAGTGTCTACTGGGATGATAAATAAGTTCTGTGATTGATAGTGGAACTGGCTGCACAGGGTATGAAGGTCCTTAATGCCACTGAATTGATCAGATGGTAATTCATGTCGTGTGTGTTACTAGAGCAAAAAAAATTTAAAGGAAAACACGTATTCAAAGTGCCCCAAACACAACTCTAGAAAGTCAGCTTTCTGACGGCCAGAAGTCATCCATTGCTCACAGCTGGACCCCAGCACCTGGCACTTTGTAAGTGCTCCATGCAGAGTGAATATTTGTTGTCTGTAGCTGCTGGCTACCAAACTTCTCCTACTGTTCAAACTGGCTCAAGAGTCCCTTCCTCCAGGAAGTCTGGCAGGATGGGCAGGCCCAATCCACCCTACTTCCAAGAGGAGTTCCACAACCAGAAGCTGGCCTCCTTTAAGAACACGAGTGTAGGGACTGAGGCTGAGGCTCAGTGGCAGAGCACTGGCCTGGTGTGCATGAGACTCAGAGTTCCAACTCGAGCCCTGCCAGAGGGAAGAAAGAGGAGGAGATGAGTGTGTGGAGAAAATGGAATGCAGAGGGAGTGGTATTCTCTGGGAATGATGCTTCATTGGCCTCAGATGAGGGGTGGTCCTAAAGACCTCCTGACCCTGAGGTAAAGCCAGGTTTAGCCTGCAGCCGGGATGGGGAATTGCACATCAGAGGGGTTTCCACGCTGGGCCTGGTCCTGGCCCTGCTGTACGCACAGGGCGGTCAGGGGTTGGCCTCTTCCTGCCTCCCCACTCCTCGCCAAGGGCTTTGGAGGCGAGGTCAATGGAGCTTGGAGGGTTGAGGAAGAGCAAGCGTTGGGACTGCATATTGGGAGAGGGGAGGGAGGAGCAGGAGGAGACGGGGCCAGCTCCTGGGAGCCTGATGCCAGGCTGAGCTGCTTGGGCTGTGCCCTGAAGTTGTGCGGAAGCCACAGGAGGGCTCTTTTCATAAGAGAAGCGAGGGACCCCGACACACTTACCTTTGGAAAGATGAAGCAGAGGGTGAACAGAAGGGGGAATGGGTAGAAAGGAGTCTCCTTTTCCTCTGGGATCCTCAAACATAGAAACTAGAACCCTTGTTGCAATCAGCGGCTCCCATTTTTTGAGCACCAGGGAGATGGCAGGGGTCAGGCCGCCTGGGGCAGCAGGGCTCAGCCTGGGTGTCTCACCTGCCTTCCTTCCTTCTCAGCCCAGGTCTGCGTGGTCATCTTCATAGGCCTCCTCTTCACAAGGTTCTGGCTCCTCTCCATCCTGTATGCCACCTGGTGGTACCTGGACTGGGACAAGCCGTGGCGGGGCGGCAGGCCCATCCAGACCTTCAGGCGCTGGGTCATATGGAAGCACATGAAGGACTATTTCCCCGTCTCGGTGAGTCCTGGGGCTGCTTTGGGGGGGATGGGGGGAGAAGCTGGCTGAGTGGGGTCAGGGCCCCAGTGCCTCACGTCTCTGTGGGGGCAGTGCAGCCCCGTGTGCGTTGTTCAGGATGCTGGACCGGAAGGCCCAGGCCTGGGTCCCCCGCCACCCAGAGACGTGGAGAAGAGACCAGCTCCTCTCTAGCTGTGGCTTTCCATTTACAGGGACGTGGGGCCAGCGTGAGGTTGATGAACATACAGGACTTGAAGGAGCTCTATGGGACATGTACTGTGTCCCTCATGTGGACCTTCAGGGAGCAATCCCATCAGCAGCCCAGTTTAAAATAAAGTTAACAAACTATGGGTCTTAAGAGACCAGCTAGCCCTACAGTCACACTCTGCCAACCAGAGAAGGACACCGGTGTGACCAAGGTCGGTCAGTCAGTTGTCAACGAATTTTAAAGCTTTGCATTGGTATGGATAAGGAAGGGTATCAGGAAGAGAGCTCTGAACGGTCCTCAGGTTCTAACCTGCTCCTACTTCTGCCAAGCTGTGTGTCCTTGGACAAGGCCTTGTCCCACTCTGAGCCTTGGTTTCCCATGGATCCAGTAAGCCAACTGATCTTCCTGCTCTGAGTGCCTTCATGTCTCCTCTCTCTCTCTCTCTCTCTCTCTCTCTCTCTGGTTCATGACACCTCACAGTGATTGTGAACACTTGGCCCTGGACTTGAAGATTGGCCCTGAGTAGACCAGATCTCTGGATCTGAAAAGACCTGTAGGTTCCTTCAACTGAGCCCAGAAAAACTAAACTTGTGGTCTACGCAGCCAGGCAGAGACGGTTTATTGAACAGATGGGATAGAATGGAGGAAGGCAGTGGGGACACAGAAGGGTAGGCAGGGCTAATTGGCCTGAAAACAGGAGAGAAGGCAGGTGTGGAGTGTGGTCTTTAGAGTTGGTTGGACTAGATTCTAATCCCAGGTCTGCCACATAGCAGATGTGTGACATTGGGTGAGTTATACATTTTCTCAGAGCCTCACTCTCTGCCTATGTAAAATGGAGATGATGTCACATACTGGGCCTTGTGGATTCCATGAGACCAGGCAGGCCAGCTCTCATAGGTTCTCAGAACCTCAAGACTCAGCGGGATTCTGAGGAGACCTGGGCATGGTCCAAGGGACTCAGAACCTAGAGCCCTGGGGCTCTGACCTTCATACCTGCCTGGCTTCTCCATCCCATCCAGGAGCCCCACCACTTCCTGCCCCGCCAGGAATTAGATCTCCAGGTAGCAAAAGAGGGGAGGTGGAGGAAATAGGCCTGCAAGGCTGAATAGCTTGCTGAAGTCGTGGGAACTCAAAGTCAGGGATCCTGCCTTTTTTCCCTCTGAGATTCCTGAGGTCCCCTGGAGCTAGAAAGGGCTGGGCTACAACAGGGAGCAGGGCCTGTGTGGGTAGGGCTGAGCTGAAGTGGGCTGGCAGAGGCTGCCATGCCCATGAGGGCCACTGGAGTCAAAGGGCAGAACATGTGGGCTAGCAGACTCGGGTGGGAGGCAATCTTCTCCACCCCTTAGATGTGTTTTCTCTGCAGGGCCCCCTTCCAGGATCTTGTCAGCAAAGACAAGCAAGGCTTGTGGGGTCTGGAGAGCAGCCATGGGTATTTTGTGGCGGAATCCCCATCCCTTCCCCAGGACTTCTGAGCTCTGAGGTTCTGAACTCCCTTCTCTAGTCCCAGGCTCCTTCTTTTGAACCAGGAAATTCAGAGCTCTCCTGGGGAAGTGTGACCTGTAGCCTGGGGAGGTATAGGTGACATCTGGTCACCTGCAGCAGGTTCTAGCCCGTAGTTGAGCTTTGCAGGTCCTGACCCTGGCCTCTCGTCCATGTGTGCTGGATCCTCACACACCAGGAAAAGAAAGGCCACCTACAAAGGGGTGGTGCAAGCACAGACTCAGGGTTGTGAGCAGCAGCCTGGGGTTCCAGGAGAATAAAGCAGAGTACACCTGTGGGAAGGCTGGAGAGGAGCTCGGGTCACTGCAGAGGCCTTAGAGGCCACCCTGCAGAACTGGAAAACCGGAAGTTCTCTGGGGAATGTCTTCTGACAGCCTACTGGCCTCCAAAGGACAGCGTCCAGCTGCTCTGTCCCTGGCGTACTTCCTGCTGCAGGTTGGCAGAGGCGATGCTGAGGCAGCTCCACTGCCTTTCTTGCTCCTTCCCTCCTTGGTGGCTCTCAAGGAGGGTTTCTCAACCTCACTACTATCAGCACTGGATGGACTTGATTTGCAGAAATTCTATGTGCACAGTTTTTCAGGCTTGTTGCATACTGAAGGCCCTTTGCTGCAGTACCATGAGTGGCCAGCAGAGGGAGAGATGCTGTTCGTTTCTGTTTTGTGGCTCCTAGGCTGGGAGCTGCAGACTCCCCCTTCTTTCTGCACACCTGGGCAGCAAGGCCCTGCAGAGACCCTGGAGTGAGCAAAAGGCAGGCTGCCCTGGCTTTACTGAGCTCTCCCTTCATTCACAAGCCTCCTCACTCTCTTGTGGAATGTGAGGTCCTTCCATGATTTCTCAACTTCTGTCAGTTCTCCCTGTGTCTTTATGAACTAGCCTCTAGTGATGAACTTTCAGGCAAAATTAGAAAACTGTGCCTTGGCCTTGAAGCTTTCCGAAGTCATCCTGTTAGCTTTCTGCAGGAGAGTCAGGCCATTCATGTAGGAGTCAGGCCATACATGTAGCTGTCCCCACCTCATGCCAAGACTGGCCCAGGAGCTGGGTGTCCCCCACTGTGAATGTTTCATCACCCAGAGTAAATAGTCTAGGCAGGCCAAGGCCTTGGGAGGGACCAAGTTCTGTGGCCAGGGCTATGACCTAGGGTCATGAAATACTGCCCACAATGTGCTTGCTGGTCATGATCCGAACCAGGCTGGGGACAGTGTAGGACAACTCCCCACCCATACCCATACCTGGGACAAGCCCTTAGTTCCCCTGTAGCCCACCAGGCATTACTAGGGACTTAGTGGCCTCTCCTTCCTGTCTGCCACATCTTGGTACACTGGGGTCTGTTCACCTGAGACAGTGGGGCTTTCACATAACAGGAACTCTAGCTTACAGGAGAAGGGGGAGGGGGAAAGGACAACATTTGATTTATTTTCCAACCAGACCCCACCTTCCCGATCGGACCTGATTATTTATTATTAATATTGACTGTCTTTTTGAACTCTGGCTTCACTGAGATGCCTGTAAGGAGGTGTTTCTTCAAGGGAAGCTGGGTCTGGCTCCAGTGTTCTCCCAGGAGTCCAGGGCAAGGGGAACTAGCATGGGGCATAGATGTTCCCCAGCCCTAGGGCTGCCCTGCAGGGAACTGGGTCTCCTACACTGTCCCCTTCTGCTCCCAGCCAGGTAGATCTCTGGGAGGCTTGCTGAACCCCAACAGCATCAACATTTGGATTGGATAATTTGTGTGTGTGTGGGGGGGGAGACTGTTCCTATCCCTGGCATCTACCCACTCAATGCCAGAAGTACTACCCTCTCCCAGTGGTAAAACCCAATCTGTCTGCAGACATTACCAGATGTCCACATCAAGAGAGCAGGAGGTGGCAAACTCACCTTAGCTGAGAACCACTGATCTAGAGCATGGGGTCTGGGTCCTACACTCCTGTTCTGACTCTTCCCTCCTCCCCTCTACCCACAGTCCTGACCACAGCTATCTTTTTGTCTAGGTTCCATGTTCTCTGGCGCCCCCTGGAGTTCATCCTCCACACTACCTCTTACTTAGAAAAAAACCTATTTTTTCTGTAGCCTGCAAGTACTTGCACTCTGAGCCCTTACCTGCTTCCCCTTTGTCATTCCAGTCCGGCAGGCATGAGCTGTACCACTTGTTCTGGTGCCTTATTGGAGTGTCCCCCACCCTGCTGATGCCAAATAATGTGGGTACATAAGTAGGCCCTGAACAGGCTCTTCCCTCTGGGGCCCTAGAGGAGTGAGAGGTGGGCTACCGATGCAGGAAACACCTCTCCCAGGAGAGTGAGGCTGGAGTCTTGAAAATCCCAAACCAGTCATGAGCCAGCTTGCCTAGCCTGAGTAGCCCCATGGTCGACTCTACCAAGTTTGACCAGATAGTTCCAAAGTCAGTCCTCAGTGCCAGTTGTCTCCCTGGGTCTGGAATAAAGGTTTCCTGCCTCTTTGTGTTCTCTGTATAGATGGCAGAATTCAGATCCCAGTCACCTGTGTGGCTTTGTGCAGGTCACTTAACCCCTCAGCAAGCCTCTCAGCTTGCTTAACTGAGAAGTAGGGCTATCATACCACAGCCAGCCTTCCTGTGGTCTTAGTGGGTGTTAAACAAGCCAGCAGCACGGGTGCTTGCTTTTTGTTGTTGTTGTTGTTGTTGTTGTTGTTCCTGGGATTGAACTCAAGGGCACCCCAGCCCTCTTTTGTATTTTATTCAGAGACAGGGTCTCACTAAGGTGCTTAGTGAGAGTTCACTTTTACTGGGGTTGGCTTCAAAGGGTAGAAACTCAACTGTCCATCAACTGACAAATGGACAAACATGTGCTCTAGCCATGCAATGGAATGTCATCCAGTCAAATGTGAAAGGAGTTCTGATACATGCTACAACATGGATAGACCTAGAAAACATGACACCAAGAGAAAGAAGCCAAGTTCAAAGTCCACCTGTTGTAAGATTCCATCTGTATGAGGTGTCCCAAACAGGTAAACTCAGAGAGGTAGAGAGCAGATTAGCAGTGCTAGGGCCCTGGGGTGAGGGAAAATGACTCCTAATGGGTATGGGTTTCTTTCTGGGGTGTTGAGAATGATCTGGAAGTAGTGGTAATGCTTACACAATCTTATAAAATTGCATTGAGTTGAGAGTGGTGGTGTACATCTGTAATCCTAGCTATTCCTGAGGCTGAGGCAGGAGGATACCAAGTTTGAGGTCAGTCTAGAACACTTAGCAAGGCCCTGCCTCAAATTTTTAAAAAGTTTTTAAAAGGGGGCACTGGGGATGTAGCTCAGTGGTAGAACACTGCTGAGTTCTATTCTCAGTACCAAAAAAAAAAAAAAAGTGCATTGAACTGTATATTTTAATGGGATAAATATTATGATATATAAATGAAATCAATAAAAAATAGTTGAGCTGGGGATGTGGCTCAAGTGGTAGTGTGCTTGCCTGGCATGTGCGGGGCACTGGGTTCGATCCTTAGCACTACATAAAAATAAAATAAAGATGCTGTGTCTACCGAAAACTAAAAGAAAAAAAAGTAAATATTAAAAAATTCTCTCTTGCTCGCTCTAAAAAAATAGCAAACTTCAAAGCTTAGGAAGCTGCTGTGCCCTTTTCTAGACCCACTTCCCACTGTGCCACACCCAGCCTCAGGGCATGTGTAGCCAGGGTATCCCCAGACCCCCACTATCTTGCTCAGTCACAATCAATATTCCCCCAACAGAATGGAGGAAGCAAGACAAACCACAGCTCTTCACCAACTGCCTCCTCCTCTTTATTTATCTTTATTTATCTCTCTGAACCCTGTAGTAAACCTAAAGTGTCATCATTGTCCTGTGGAAGAGGATAACTGGGGCACTGAGGGGGCCAGAGCCTGGCAAAGGTCCCAGGCATGAGCCAGAGGTAAAATCCAGTCTCTTGACTCCCTGCTCAGGGTTCTCCTGACTCCATGCTAGTGGGATGCAGGTGACCTGGTGGGACAGGATTCGAGTCAGGGCCCCTCCTTCTGAGGTGGGATATCTCAGTCTCATCTTCTTGGCTCCTTCATTCCCACCTTCCTTCCACACTTTCCAGAGCATCTCCTTTGTCCCAGACCAGCACTGGGGACACACCTTGGACACAGTGGTCTATGATCTTCAGTGAGGGCCAGGTAGACTTGGGGACAGGAGTCATGTAGAAGGGGCTAGCACAGAAAGATAAAGTAGAGACCACGTCTGAGGGAGGTACAGATTAGGCCTCATTGGGACTATGATGGCTCCACAGTGCACACACGTGGACACATGTAGATACACATGCAAATACTGGCCTACTCGCCTGGACACAGGTCCCTACCTTTGCAAGGTTTTTCTCTATGCACAAATGCTTTCTTTTATATATTTTTTTTGTATAGGGATTGAATCCAGGGGCACTCAACCACTGAGCCATATTCCTAGCCCCTCATCCCCCTTTTTAAATTTAGAGACAGGGTCTCAGTGAGTTGCTTAGGGCCTCTCAAAGTTGCTGAGGCTGGTTTTGAACTCGTGAGTCTCCTGAGATGCTTGTTATAGGCATGTGCAACTGCACTGGGTTTTTGTTTGTTTGTGTTTTGTTTTGGTTTTTGTTTTTTGGTTTTGATAGATATTGTCAAATTGCCTTTATGGAGGTACAAAATTTCTTCCCACTAGCTAAAGGGAACTTCTAAGGAAATGTTTCAATGGGTTCTAGAGCAAGTGCCTTCCCAGTGAGAAAAACCAGGGTCTCTATCTTGCCATATCTACTAAGTCCCCTACTTCCCAGGGGAAGAGGATTGTCCTGGTCTGGGGAGGCCATCTTGGTGATGGTGGTGGTGGGGGTGTTGTCAAAGCCAAGGCTAGAAGAATCTAGAGCTATTCAGGCTGGACTGGGCAGACAGGATCCAGTGCTGTCTCCAGACTGCTCTGAGGGTAAGCAGCCGGGCTTCTGTGGCCCCAAAGGCAGCAATGAGAATTATCCCTGACCCTTTCAGCTTGGTGACAGGAAGACCGCTTACCTGGCAAAGCGGAGTCTGAGCGAAAGGAGCTGCCCCGGCCCAGGGAGTGCAAATTGCAGGCTGGCAGGGAGCCTCCTGCCCTAGGCCTGGCCCCACCCTGATGGCAATGGTTCCCAAAGCCAGGTTGGGCTCCAGGGTTCCCAGTGGAGTGAGGCCAAGATTGCTAACAACCCTGGCCTCCAGCAATAATCTCTGCAGATCCAGGTGACCAGTACAGCCTCTGTTAGCTCAGGTCCCGCCCCGTTGGTCCTCGCCCTATTTCATCAAGAAGCTACTAAGGACAAACAGTTCTTTCTCCCTCTCCATGGACAGTGTCTGGTGGACCCTGGCACACCTTCCATGCCACAGGCCCCACCAAGGCAAGTCTCTGTCCTGGCAGGGGGAGAGAACAAAGGGCAGCAAAGGACTGGCCTGCAGGGTGGTGGGGAGAGGAGAGAGAGCCACCGGGTGAGACACTTGTGCAGTACAGGGCGGCAATCCAGAACAGAGCCAGTCTAGGGAACTGCATGCTCTTTCAACCTGACAGGAATCCACGCCTCTTACAGCTTGCGCACACTCAGCCCCAGGTCTGAAGTGCACAGTACTGTTAGCATGGGCTTTCCAGAGTGGTGGCGCCCCCGTGTGGCCCTTTGATTCCTTCACATCACATCCTGTGGGCTGATTGGCAATTCTAGGAACCCTCCTCACAGCACAGCTTGTCAGCAGCCTGGCAAGGGAGAGGCGCAGAGCCAAATGTTCCCCTTTTATAGAAGAGGAGCCTGAGGAAACAGTTTATCCAAAGCCAGCCCCTTGGTATCACCAGAAATGGTCTCTCACCACAGCACAGGGCTGTCCGACTTATGAATGAAGCACTTAAGGATCAGAGAGGGGCAACGACTTACCCAAGGTCACACTAGAGTGGCAGAGTCAAGATCCATAACAGGTCCAGCTCTGACTCACCAGGGTGCTGTCCCCGCAGCTGGTCAAGACCGCTGAGCTGGACCCCTCCAAGAACTACATTGCGGGCTTCCATCCCCATGGAGTCCTGGCAGCCGGAGCCTTTATCAACCTGTGCACTGAGAGCACGGGCTTCTCCTCGCTCTTCCCGGGCATCCGCCCCCATCTGATGATGCTGAACCTGTGGTTCCGGGCCCCCTTCTTCCGAGATTACATCATGTCTGGGGGTGAGTCTTCCTGCTCCAGGTAGCTCAGGAACATAAGATTGGTGTTTCTGGTGGGGGGACTTTAGGGAGGGCTTCCAAAAGCTCTGTATTTCTTCTAAAAACATGCACAGGAGGAGAAGATGGCTAGACCCAAAGGAACTTCCTGCAGTGCTGTGCTGATCACTGAGCCCAGTGAGGAGGTTGGGAAGAAAGAGAGGACTCAGGGGACTCCCAGCTGGATCCCAGGCCTCTGTGGGCACTGCTAGTGGTCTTTCTCTTGGGCACACCCCCCCTCACAGTCCCTGTCCCCTCACCACACACCTGACCACCCTCCTCTCTCCCCAGGGCTGGTCACGTCAGATAAGGAGAGCGCTGCTTACATTCTGAACAAGAAGGGCAACGGGAACCTGCTGGCCATCATTGTGGGGGGCTCCCAGGAGGCACTGGATGCCAGGCCTGGGGCCTTCACGCTGTTACTGCGGAATCGAAAGGGCTTTGTCAGGCAGGCCCTGATACACGGGTATGGATGGGGCTCTGGGGACTGCACTCAGTTCAATCTGAAGTTGGCAAGGATGATATTTTGGTGGGGAGGCAAGAAAGACTAACCAGATTCTATTTTAGCAGAGAGCTTCTCAGTTCATTCACAATGAAGATTATCTTTTTAATGATTCATGCCCAAATTCCTGGAAGAGTTTCCATTTTTCCAGTGAAATTCGATGGCTGATGGACATAGTTCAAGGTGGGAGTGGACATCTTCCCCAACGCCGGCAGGAGAGCTGAGACCTATGGGATCTGAAAGAATGGGGATAGGAGCATATGGAAGAGACATTCTCCCACCTTGGGGGAAGCTTCTGGGAGGAAAGGAGCCAACTGGCATGGGGAGAGTTTTCTAGGAGAGAATGCAGGTGTTTTCTGTCTGGGAGGACTCTCTGCAGCACTCTGTTCACACGTCACGGAGCAACCGAGGTCAGAGAGGGAGCCATGGCAGGTCGAGGAGGCAATCCAAGCCTCCTACTTCTAGCCCAAGGCTGGATCCTCTGCTCCTGAACTTGGTCATGGAGTCCCTGCAAGAAGCCCAGTGAACTTTCCACTCCTGTTTTTTTCTGGAGCCTCCCACAGACCTCTTCTGTTTCCCTCCAGGGCAGCTCTAGTGCCGATCTTCTCCTTTGGGGAGAATAACCTATTTGACCAGGTGCAGAACTCTTCTGGCTCCTGTTTGCGCCGAGTCCAGAATCGGCTGCAGAAGATCATGGGCATCTCCCTCCCCCTCTTCCATGGCCGCGGCATCTTCCAGTACAGCTTTGGTTTCCTGCCCTACCGCCAGCCCATCACCACCATCGGTAAGACCAGATCCAGTCTGCGAGAGGGAGGTTACAGGAACAGGGACCTGGGCTATGTGATGCCAGAGGACATGGAGGTGGGCCAGGTACATCCCTTCCCTCATGGGGCTCACCTTCTAGATTGGGAGGCACAGACATTGGCAGATGGCCCTAATATAAGGCAGTCTGGGATAAGGGCTGTGACACCGACATAAAGAACAGTCACTACTGGCTGCTGAGCACCTGCCGTGTGCCCGGCACTACGCAGCTGACTTCTGTACAACAGCTCAAATTATTCTAGCATCCTTTGAGGCAGGGTTATTGTATATTTCACTGATGATAAACTGAGGGCCGGAGAAGTTAAATAACTGCTTTTGAGTAACAAAGTTGAAGTTTGAATCAGGAGGGTTTAATTCTGACTCAGAGGATCTGGTGAGGATTATTTGGAAAGGTAGATACCGGGGAAGGGCACTCTGCGTATGCTAAAATTGTGTGCAAAGTAGAAATCAATAGGCTCTGAATTAGAGCGTAAGGTATCTTCCCGCAAGAAATGGAATTGAAATTTAATTCAGAGACTTAACACCATCTTTTCAGCTATCCAGACACTTTTTGTTTTCTTCTTGTATTCCAAGTAGGTTCCTCTGACAAAATCTGTAGAGAGGTCCCTTCATCTCATCTCCATCCATCATTTGTTAGTTAAACAGACTTGGTAAATCCCTATATTTGGAAACTTCCTGTGTCATGTGGCAATATTTTCATGAGTTTTAATACTTTTGCTGCCTTCAGAGCTATTGTCAAGAGGAGAGGGTTGGGGAGCTGCTTTCTCAGCCAGACAGAACCAGAGGAAGAGGGCTAGTTAATAGCCTTCCTGATTCTTCTCTGTGATGAGGAGTGAAGTGCGGGTCAGCTTGTGGGACAGTAAGGGAAGAAAAGCTGCCTGGGTTGCGAACCACCCTTGTCCCAGCAATACGGCACTTCTGACTGTAGCATCCTGGGCTTTCGGAATCGTATAGCCTGGAAGGGAAGAGCACACACCCAGGACTTAAAACCTGGTACTGACTCTTCCTAGCTATGTGACCTTGAACAAGTTAGTTAACTTCTCAGAGCCTCAATGCCTCACCTGTTAAATAGGAATATTGATAGGTTTTGCTCCCATAGGGTTAAAGGGAAGAACACATGTAGAATACCTAGCACATTTCCTGGCACGTTGACACCTGTCTGTTGATAGATTTTATCAGAATGTTAGAGTTGCCCTACCACTTAGAATCCATTTCCTGAAGTTGGGTTTGGAAGGGGTAGCTGAAGGCACTTTCCTGCAGCATGACAGTGGGGCTGGGCACCTGCTCCAAGGGCCTCTGCCACCCCAGTGGTTCCCACTCTGCTCCTCTGCCACCTGTGTGTCTTGCAGTGGGAAAGCCCATCGAGGTGCAGAAGATACTGAGGCCCTCAGAGGAGGAGGTGGACCAGCTCCACCAGTGCTATATCAATGAGCTATGCAACCTCTTTGAGGCCCACAAGTCCAAGTTCAACATCCCTGCTGACCAACACTTGGAGTTCTGTTGAACACCTCCAGCCAGGAGGGAGGTTGCTCCCAGGGCAAACCAGCATTTGGGAGCTCAGCCAGAGTGCTGGAACCTGAGGAGGCATCCTGCATGTGTTTTGAACACATCTCCAGAGCTTCCCCAGACTTCTACAAGTCCAACCACAGCTGGCAACATGGAAGAGGAGACCAGACTGAAATCTGTGATTTGCACTCCTACAGCCAAAGCTCTGCCAGTCTCCCTCTCCTTGGCCTCTGGATGCTCATCTATGAAACGTGAGAGAGAACTGGAAGAAAATGACTCCTGGGGGCTCTGTCCTCTCCTGTAATGTCACTCAAAGATTACAAAAGAGCATGTAGGGAAAAAGAGAGTAACGAGCCTTTTCTTCCTCTACACTTGAGTAACAGCACAAAAGAAGCTCCCAGCTCCAGCCCTTTCCCCTACCTGCCCCCTTGTATCACACTCTGGATGTCCCTCCCTCCTCCAGCTGGAGAGAAGGTGGTGGGCAGTGAGTCCCTGCACTCACCCAATGCACCTTCAAATTTCTGGACCCTCTGAGCTGTGTTGTGGCAGCCAGAGGTTATTGGAAGGTGGGCAAAGAGAATTCCACTGTCACTGACTGACTGTGATTGGGGGCAGGCCTCTTCCCCCACCCTCTGAGCCTCAGTTTCCCCGAATTAGATGACCTTTGAGTCTTGGTTTTGACAGCACATAATTTGAGAACTCCAGGAGGACTCCTCTTGCTTATTCTTTGTAACTTCAGACCTTGGCACAAAAGGAGGGACCCAACAAATGTCAGTTCAATAAACGAAAGCATTCTATTTTACCCCCCCCCCTTTTTTTCCTTCCCGCCCTGCCCCTGCACCTACCCTCATCAAGGATACAGGTCAAAGCTTTTGACCCTCAGCTAGGCCCTGTGGCCCTGTGGCCCTGACCCATCTTCCCAAGACCTGGATTACTCTGGTCCACAGAAGACCATGTTCTTTCCTGACCCATCACCTAAGTTAATCACCTCTGGTCCTATTCTTTTAGGAAATAGGGGAAAACAATATGTCTATGGCCAGCTGACTCAGAGAACAAAAACCAGGTGTGGGGTGTGTGAGACTGCATGTATCTGGGGGAGAGTGATGTCCTGACAAGGAGAATTCTGGATTCCTGGGTCAGGGACATGCATCAGGAGGATGGCCAGGAGGCATGAGGCCCCCTCCCCTCTAGCGAAGAAGCAGACCCTTCCCTCCAAAAGCAGATCCCTGCAACCTGGGGGCAGGCATTTGGAGAAGTATAATTTGGGGTTCCAATCTGGTCCCATCTATTTTCAGAGACCCTGAGAAAAATCACATCCAAGCCTCAAATTTGTCATCTGACAAATAAAGACTACATCTCCCTCTATTGCTGTAGTTCCCAAGTCAATGAGCCACTCCATGTCCTTATGGAATGATGCACTGTACATGCCATGCAGCAGTCAGGTGACTCCAGGGTCTCATGAAGGGGCCTGGTACCATGCTACTTGGCATATGGGTCACAATAGTATTGGGAATAAGGAGCAGAAGGGAGTGATGACTTCCAGCCCAGGGAAAACTTTGGAGAAAGTGGCCATGAGCCAGGCCTGGAAGGAAGGGCAAGAGTCTCAAAGGAGATACACAGTGGCCTCCTGCTGGGTTGTGAACCACTTCCAAACGTACTGCCTGAAGACTGCAAAGTTTCATTATTTCTCACAATTCTGTGGGTTTGCAGAATTTGGGGGGTTCTTAGGTCTTTCTTGGGCCGCCATGTTGCATTCAACCAGTGGGTCAGAGGGAGCTGGGATAGCTAGGGTGCTGAGACAGCAGGGCCTCTCTTTGCATGCGTCTGTCTCTATCCTGACTGGTCTTTGAGGATTTGAGAGTGGCTGGATTCCAAAAAAATGACAGCCACAGCTGCGAGGACTCAAGCCCTGGGCCACACAACTTGCAGAGTCGCTTCCACTGGTCCATTGGTGGGAGCAAGGCAGGAGGCCAGGGGCAAGGAATAGGCTCCGCCTCAGGATGGGAGGTGCTGCAATGTCACAGTACAAAAGGCAGGGACACAGAGAGGGTTCTACAGGCCATCTTTGCAATTGACCAAAAATGTAAAAGTGTCCTCCCCCATCCCCAACTCTGTCTCTCTCCCATTCCCCGTCTGGCCTTGATAAAGCCAACAGCCCCAGCTCAACCTTGCCTCTCTGCCCTGTCTCCATCTCTCTGTCCCCCACCCACCACATGCACAGCCATGGTGGGCTTTCAAAAACACGAATCTTGGCACTGGAGTCCCAGGCCAGAGGTAAAACCCGGAGGTCCCAACAAATCAGATCCAGTTACTTGTCCCAGAATGAAACAGAAAAAGTTAACAGTGAAAAGCAGGAAAGGAACTTTAATCATGGCTCTTCAGGGAAAGCAAAGTGAGAGCAAGTGTCTCAGCCCTGTCTTCAAGGTACTGACATGAGCTCAGATTACACAGACAAGGGCTTTAGTTGATCATTACCTCAGGATTGACCAGGTGGGGCCTTGTCAGAGATAAGAAAGTTGCTGTTGCCTGGAGGTGGTTTGACTTCTCACAAGATGTTTATCAATTAGACCTGTTGTTCTGGAATCCAAAGCAATTTTGAACAAAGGAGACCGATGCAAAACGGAGGCAGAGATGCCAACTTTTTTTTTTTTAATACCAGGAATTGAACCCTAGTACATTTAACCACTGAGCCACATTCCCCAGCTCTTTTTAAAATATATTTTATTTAGAGACAGGGCCTTGCAAAGCTGCTGAGGCTGGCTTTGAACATGTGAGCCTCTGGAATTACAGGCCAATTTTTAAATCCTGTTACCTGTTGGACATTTGCAGGCAGAAGTTGAAGAGTCTAAGTCCCTGTTAGAAGTCAGCCACATTGTTTCTCTGCTCAAAGTCCTGTGGCTCCCCATGGCTGCTAGGCTAGGGTTTGTACCAGTCCCATGTCAGCAAGAACCAGAAGATAATTTGAGGAGGGTGTCATTAAGAAAGAATTTCCTGAGAATGGTGACATAAGTCAGGGCCATGGTGTTGGGGCACTGTTGCTGCCCTGAGGCCTGGAAGGACAAACACAGCAGGCATCTCAATCTAGAGAAGTCATGACCCTGCAGGGAAGGAGCCAAGAACATGCACCTCACTGTCTTCCCCAGAGCCCACCCCACTCTTCCCTCTATCCTATCTCCTGCCAAGTTCCCCACTGCCTGAACCCAACTGGAAGCTAGAGGGAAGGAGGACCTGTGGCTGCAGTCCAGAGCCAGGCGGAGAGTAGACTAGAGGGATCAATGGAAGACAGAAGATGTCCACCTGAAGCCTACGCTTCTTAGCCTACCATTGGTCATTCCCCACCATCTGGCCCAATTTCCTTCATCCTTGTCTCTCTCTCTCTTCCTTATCCCTAGGCTCCCATCACACTGAACCATTTTCAGGCCCAAAACTTAACTGCTATAAACAACAGGTCTCACAGTTGTTCGCAGAGATCTGGGAGTAGCTTAGCTGGTGGTTCCTCAGGGGTCTCACAAGCAGCAACCAGGCTGTCCACTGGGCCTGCAGTCTGTGAGGCCTTGCTCAGGGCTGGAGGGTCCACCTCCAAGCTCACTCACATGGCTGGGAGCAGGGGGCTCTCTTCCTCTCCATGGGGCTGCCAATGACATAGTTTCTCCCAGAGCAAGTGAGGGGAAAAAGAGAAAGGCCATCCTGCCTTTTATGACCTAGTCTCTGAGTCACTAGCCATGGATTGTGCCTTGGTTGGTTGGTTAGGTGTGACTCACTTGATCCAGTTCACACTCCATCTAAGGGTGTGAATACTGGGAGCTGGGTTCACTGTGGGCAGCATGGCAGACAGTGGCCGCAGTAATGGAGATGAGCTCTTGGACACTAGACCCAGCCATCTCCACCCACGTGCCAGGGTACTGGCAGGGGATACTCAAGTGGGTGGGGACAACAATTTGAGCAAAGAAATGATGACCATAACAAGGTGGCTATTGATTTGAGGGTGCCAGGATGGGAAATAGAGGGAAGGGGAGAAAGAACTCTCCTTCACACAAGCCTGAGGCCTCCACGTTGAAGACAACGGTAGTACATGGTAGGAATACGGAGTTCTGATCTCAGAGGAAGGCCACCCAAACAGAAAGAGTCACACTGGACTTTGTGTGTACAAAAAGAGATACTTTTGCTAGGTACAGAGGCACACGCCTGTAATCCCAGAGGCTGAGGAGGCTGAGGCAGGAGGATCATAAGTTCAAAGCCAGCCTCAGGAACTGAGCTAAGTCCTAAGCCACTCAGTGAGTTCCTGTCTCTAAATAAAATACAAAAAGGAGCTGGGGATGTGGCTCAGCGATTAAGCACCACTGGGTTCAATTCCCAGTACAAAAAAAAGAAAGAAAGAAAGGAAAAGAAAAAGAAATACTTTTACTGTGCTAAGCCTCTGAGATTGGAGATTCTTTTTATGTCTGTGGGCCTCCCTAACCAATGTGCCAGGCCCGATTCATCTAAGTGTTTGGTAATTAATTTAGCCAGGCACCCTCAGAGCCTGTCACATTTTGTCTCCTCTGTCCCAACACACACAAGAGAGGATTTGTCAGGCATGATACAGAGGGTCAGAGGTCCTCAAGCAGGGGGACAGCTTGAGTCTCCTCTGGAAATCAGGCTGCCCTTTGACCTGGGGAGAAGTTCTCAGGCATATCACCAATGGGGACAAAGGGCCTGCTGAGGCCCGGCCCGCCTGATACTGCTTTATGTTAACTTGGCCAGGGTGGCAGGTGGGACAGGGGTCAGCCAGCACAGCACAGCCGGCAGCCACGTGGCATGAGCCAAGGCTCCACAGCACAAGGAGAATCTGCTTTCTCCTCTGCCAAGGAGGTGGGAGGACATCAGAGGGACACTGCTGAGTCAGCAAAGGAGGACACAAGGGAAAGCACAGGCACAGGGCCCAGGTTCTGGCATGGTTCGGGGCACAGGGGTGAGGTTTAGAGGAAAGGAGGCCGGAGTTTAGATCTTCATTCAGCAAACTTTTATCAAACCCTTGTGATGTGCCAGAGATAGACAGTGGTGACCAAGGTAAACCAGGTCCCTGGCTCCGCCTTGCCCCTTATCAATCAGCCAGGAGTTTCTCCTCAAACTTGGGAGGAGCCCTGGAAGGTCCTTGAGCTGGTGCTTGTGGAAGACGCTGTGGGCTAAACTGACATCTGTCTAAACGGCCTCATGCAAGGGTGGACTCGGCACCCTACGACCGAGAACCTACTGTGTGCTAGGCTCAGGAAGGCTCTACCTGCATTGTCTTAATGACATGCACAATAACATCTTCATAGGAGACAAGGTTCATTTGTCAGAGAGCTTAAAGGTCTTTCTAGAATTCTGGCCCAGCATGAGGGCTGCCTGTCTAGGCAACTATCACCCGCTGTTCCCATCTGGCCCAGTTCTGGCCCCAGACCTGCCAGAATGGCACGAGGAAAACGGCCAGGGATCCAAGAGCTAGCCAGGTATATGGGTCCTTCCCTAAACTGACCCCTGGTGGCCTGTGTGACCCTGTATAAGTCACCTCCCTTCACTGAGTCAGTTCATTCACTTGTAAATCGTTTTGTCTATAGATGGGCATTCAGTAACGGGTTCTACTTTACCCCTCCCCTTTATAAATGCCAGGCTTTGGAAAATCCTGAGGGCTTATGTCTTCAATCTTTGCATGTCTTAGATCCTATACGTTCCCTTTGCTCCCTACCTGGAACCAAACCTGAGTATTTCCCATTTCAGGCTGAACTGGTGCCATGTACATACAGTTACATTTTAGCAGGAGAATGGATACGATAGCTTACAAAATCTGGGCAAGCAGAAATGGGTTGGGGATGTAGCTCAGTGGTAGAGTACTTGCCTAGTTTGTGCAAGGCCCTGAGTTCAGTCTTCAGCACAAGCAAAAACTGAACAGAACAAAATATAAAACAGCAAGAAAATCCTAACTCTGTCAATGAAACATCAATAGGTAAAGGATCAAAACTGAAGGAAAAAGAGTAAAAGCTGTCAGCAGCCTGTATTTGGGGGTGCCCTAGACCAATGTATGGGCATTAATATTTGATCTGTGGTCAAAGACCAGATATTTACTTTTTCCCTATTTCTAATTCTTCACGGGCCTATCCATTTTGTGAAATATAAACCTCAAGGCCAGGCATGGTGGTGCATTCCTGTAATCCTAGTGACTTGGAGAGACTGAGGGAGGAGGATCACAAATTCAAGGCTAGCCTCAGCAACTTAAAGAGGCCCTAAGGAAGTCAGCCAGACCCTATCTCAAAATTAAAATAAAAAGGGCTGAGGATGTGTTCATGGTTAAGCACCTCTGGGCTCAATGCCCAGTACCAAAAATCAAACAAGCATGTATTTCTATATCTATCTACTATCTATCTACCTATCTATCAAAAGAAAAATGGAAAAAAGAAAACCAAGCTATAGTAAGCTTTTTATTATTAATTTCACTGGCCATAAAATTGCCCTGCCACCTTTCCCTGAAGCCTCTGAGCAATCCTTCAGTTCTGCACTGATTTCATCAGGAACCAGTGACAAGCTGTTGGTGGATGAACCAGCCCCAGGCCACACAGGAGTAGCCCTGCCCTGGAACTCATTGCTGTGACTCATTGTTGGCTTTCTTTCTTTTTTTTTTTTTTTTTTAAAGAGAGAGTGAGAGAGGAGAGGGAGAGAGGGAGAGAGAGAGAGAGAGAGATTTTTAATGTTTTATTGTTTAGTTCTCGGCGGACACAACATCTTTGTTGGTATGTGGTGCTGAGGATCGAACCCGGGCCGCACGCATGCCAGGCGAGCGTGCTACCGCTTGAGCCACATCCCCAGCCCTCATTGTTGGCTTTCTAAGGTTGTTGTGAGTTGAGGGACACAACGTGACTTGGTAAACTTGGATTGGTGGGACTTGTCATCTTAGCCACTTACATCGAGGAGACCCCTCAAAGTTGCACAGCTGGGAGGTGGGAGAGCCAGGACTGGTCTTCTGGCTCTCACCTGGAGCTCTTTCCACTGGCGCAGTGGATGGCAGGATGAGGAGCAACTTGTTGCTTCAGCTACAGGAAATGCCTTCAGCCCCCCTGATTATGCAGTCATTCCGGCCCTTGGTAGGGTGGCTCTGAAGGATCACTGAAATTCGTCTTTTCCCTTCAGGCCACTCTGCAGCCTCCACTTTCTTCCACCACTGTTAATCCCAAGATGTCCTTAATAAACAACCTGCAGGCTACACACTATCTCTGAATCTGTTTCCTGGAAAACCCAACCTGTGACACGTGCTGCGTATCTAAAGAGTACTAACGTAAGGCTCAGAGAGGTTCACTAACTTGTTCTTGTAACAGTGGTCCTCTTTATGATTTGAATATAGCTCTTGCTGCTCTGCCACTGTGACTTATTTTCAAAAAAATGTGTTTCTCTTTTTCTCTCCCTTCGTCTTTTAATCTCTCCCCTTCTCTCTCTCTTAATCTCTCCATTTCCCTAGTCTCAGGGAAAACAGGATTACTTTTCTTCCCCATCCTAGTTTTCTGTCCTTGAACACACACTCATCACAGGGACAAAGTAATCCAGACTTTGGGGATGACACCAGAAGATCTCAGAAATGTCTATCTCCCCAATTAAAAAGTGAATTACAACTGATTAACGAATTACAAGTCAGGGCTGCTTTCTGCTCTGGAGACGGCCTGCGTTCTCCCCGGAATGTGTATCTACCTTCCTAAATAAACCTCTGTCTCTGCCTTTGTCTGGCTCATGCTGAAATTCTTTTGCAACACATAGGCCAAGAACCCCTCTGGTCCAGAGTTGTTCCCCCTCTCTTCTGGGAACTCCTTGAACCTTTCTCTGGAGTCATCTCTTCTCCCATGGCTCAGTGAATTCACTTGGTATTGTAGTGCTGTCTATATGACACGTTGTGTTGGTTCAAACCCCAAAGTGAACCTTAGTATAGAAGTGACATTTTAAAGATCAATCACGTTGGGGAATCCCAGGGTGGGATGCAGACTATGGTGATGAGAGAATATTAATTGTCATATAAACACATGAGGAAACATCCTAAAGGGAGTGGGAGGAGGAAGGCTGGGCCTAAGTAACTTTGAAAAATGTATTTTGATGGGAAAGTGCGTGACAAATGTACATAAACACTGAAACACAGTTGGTAGTGTTGAATTTCTCGTGGGCTGTAACTTCACCATTCTGAAACTGGACGTGCATATGAGGTTGAACAAATAAGTGACTGGATGGTGGCAGCCATGTTCTCACTGCTGGAGAGGGAGAAAGGCTCTATTGGCCCATGTGATCAGGCATTAGAGTGGGGATATACATCAGTATAAACTTATGGTTAGTTTATGAAGTTACAGAAATAGTTACAAATATGTATATATCCCCCAGTCAGTACACATACATGCTTTTCCTAGCTCTGACTTCTGAGAGAAGCAATGGCACCCAGTAGCAACTAGCACACCTAAATCTCAAATCTTGGCTTCTAATACCACTCTCTAAAAATGGGGGATTCCTGAGATGCTTGGTAAAAATGGCTTATTCTAGAACGGGGGCTGGAAAAATACAGGATGAGTCTGAAGAAAATAAAGATATGCTTAAAACTCCGAATAATAGGTCATCCCCTACAAGAGCTGAATTGAAAGGCTCCCAATGATGTTGGCAG